TCATATTTGTATCTTATTAATTTCACTAAAGAAAACAGAAAATAGAAACACGATGATCTGTTTGTTGACTTATTACAAAAGAAAAACACCGCAGGTACAACGACTATTATCTAATTAGTGGTATAATTGTAAAATACATTACGGAAGAAGCATATTCCATCATCAGAACCCTAAAAAAATATTAAAACAATTAGATAAATTTCCATGGAGCATATAAAATAAAATTATCTACTAAGTAAACGGAAAAAAATAGAACAAATAGGAGCGTAAGGCTAACGAATACCCCGGCAATTAAAGATAACGGTCGTAATATCTTTGGCACTTCGTTTTCTTATCCAATGAACATTGACATCCAATGAATTGTTTTGTTTAAGTAAGAAAACCGGATTCACCAACCGAAGAAAGGAATCCTGAACCTGGTGCTTGGTCTATTCCCAGTAGTAGTCTGATGAACGTTATCATGTAATCTTTTACGAATGCCTAAAGAATTGAACGAAGTAAAGTAATTAACAGTTGCTTAATCTAAAGTGTGTGAAAACAGATGTGAATTAACTAGCCGTCTTTAGCGGAAAAAAAAAAACCATCTAAATTATTTTATTTTTAGTTGTTATTTTTGTAAAACCAATTATTTCAAATATTTATTTTGCCCTAATCCTCGACGTCTATTATCACCATATTAGTTTTATCCAGTCTTAGTGTTGTTGCAATGTCTTAAAAAATATTGAATTTAATTTAATGACATAAATCGTGCAGAGCCGTAGGAAATGGTAAAGCTGGTCAGGCCATGTCATATATAGCTACGACTTATGTATTAAAACTTGCTTCTTATAATTCAATACATTACGTATTGTGTATGCAGTTTTTGTAGTTAAAATGGCTCAAGATTCAGTCTCATGGGATTAAAATTTCTAAAATTTTCTGGGGGGGAAATGTTTCCAGATCCCCTCGAAATGGCAATGGTCTAATCACTCCAAAATTTCTTCCTACGGCAATGCGGAAATGGTATAATTTAGGGTTACTTCACTAAAAACGTTGTTAAACTATCAGTTACAACAGTGTTAATCGAGCGTTATAACAAGTCTTACTCCACTAACACAGTCTTAATGATATGTCTTACATCACTAAGAACTGTATTAATCGCGTGTTGTGATAAGTCTTACGTTAGTAACAACAGTGTTAATCTAGAGTTTTGATAAGTCTTACGTTAGTAATAACAGTGTTAGTGTCGTGTTAAGCCTTACGTTAGTAATAACAGTGTTAGTGTCGTGATAAGACTTACGTTAGTAACAACAGAATGAACAGTGTTAATCTATCGTCTCAAGAAGTGTTACGCCACTAACAAAATATTAATCTAGTGTTGTGTTAAGCCTTACGTTAGTAATAACAGTGTTAGTGTTGTGCTAAGACTTACGTTAATAACAACAGAATGAACAGTGTTAATCTATCGTCACAAGAAGTCTTACGCCACTAACAAAATAATAATCTAGTGATGTGTTAAGCCTTACGTTATTAATAACAGTGTTAGTGTTGTGTTAAGCCTTACGTTAGTAATATCGGTGTTAATCTAGATATATATTGGCTCTCTTTAGTGTGTAATTCACTCTTACCTGGTAGAGCAAAGTGTCTAACATGCTGGCACTAAATACTGTACCCGATGCAAACGGTAACCGGAACATATAGGAAATGTGAGAACCTCGTTCCCTCTCCCTCTATCAAAACAAACATACTGACCGTTATGGATACACGTCACATATACAGTCGTTTAAAATCTTAGCAGAAACGCTAAAAATTAGTCCACAAATATTAATTTTGAACATTTGTTTTATATATATATAAATTAATACGTTTAAATTTCTGTAAATTATTCTTTTCATTTTGAAAAACTCTAGAAATAGGTTTAGATATTAGGCTTAGTTTCAAACAGAAATATGTGAAGATATTCATTAGCCAACACCAAGTTTCACCAGCTCAGGCTTTATTACGAAATTTATTTTTCGTTCGAAGTGAAACTTTGAACATTATCAATCTGTTTAAAAACATATAAGAACACTCCAAAGTTGAGAAAATATAGCATACCGTAAAGTTGAGAAAATAAGCACACTGAAAAGTTAGGAAATATTACCACACTGTAAAGTTCAGGAAATAAGCACAGTGAAAAGTTGGAAAATATTAGCACACTGAAAAGGTCAGGAAATAACCACACTGAAAAGTTGGGGAATATAAGCACACTGAAAAGTTGAAAAAATATGAACACACTGCAAAGTTGGAGAAAAATCACACCGAAAAGCTAGGAAGTATAAGAACACTGTAAGGCTGGGGAATATAACAACAGTGCAAAGTTGAGAAGTGTAAGCACACAGCAGAGTTGATTGAGATAAGAACTATAATCTTACTTTCAGAGCCCATACGTTAAAATTCATTACCGAAAGCGTACACTAACACATTGAATTATAATTTAAGTATTTAAAGAATGAACCATTTCTGGTTAGAAACGTAATTATTTAGGCATTAAGTTCGAGAGATTCGTATGAGTTTCACAATATATTTCTATAATGTACGTGTATATCATTTCGGGGGGGGGGGGAGTGATAGGGGTCTGTATAAAATCGAGTTACCTTGCAATTAAACAAGGTAAACAATTTTTCCTGCAAAGATTTTTCGATGTCGCTTTTCAGGTGTAACAAATTCTATCTGAACAAGGATTAAAACAGAAGTAATTTGAAAATGGTAAAGCAAGATATCACTCCTTACAAAAATATTAAATTAAACGGAGAAAATCAGAAACCTTAAATGCTACATCAAGCTTGTTCGTTATGATGTTCAACATTCTTCGGGTTAAGTTACTGGTTCATTTCGTACCTTTTCCATTTTTGACAGATGTAAGGCATAGGTGTCATTAGCTCGGAACTGCATGAATCTCATGTTACTGGACTGACTGAGTTCGGTGATTATTCGGACACTGGGAAAAAGCCTGGAATTTATAAAGATTCGTTAGAAAGATGACAGTAATTGTATCTAAACTAAAATAACCTGCATTGTCTTCAAGTGGTTTACGTTAAGTAATGTATGGACTGAGATTAGACTTAGAAATTTGATTAATGCAATATTTGGTCTTTATTTCTAAAATTAAGAAAGAAATTATATGAGTATATATATATATGTCTTACACAACGCAATCTGTACGCTGTAGAGTCTCCAAAATGTTCTGTTAAAGGAATGCATAGTGATGTAAGATTTCTCAAAATTATGAGGTTTCTTCAGTGAACTTTCAAAACAAAAAGCAGCCTTTTTAATATAAAAATAACTGTTACGACAGCGGAAGTCACGTGACGCTGGTAACACGTAATGCCTTCTAGATACTTTCGGGGAACATCATGAACAATCCAGTATTTGTTAGACGCCCTCTATTCTATATTCCCTCTATTCGCGCCAGAAAAAACAAGACAATTTAATCGGAACTGGAATAGCACACAGAGAGAAATTGAAGATACAGACAGATAATCGAGTCAAGCCGTAAGTAAACTGCGTGAGTCGTTGTGAATTATAGCGTGTGTTGAAGTTAAAGTGACCGTGGAAATTAAGTGTATTGCAAAGTTGTATTGAGAAAGAATAAACTAGTTTTATTTAAGAAAGGACTCGTATCGCTAAAGTTTCATAGGAAAGAATTTCTATGGAAAATTAACAAACGAACACAGACGTAACAATACATTTAGTAATTTATCAAGAGTTCGTTGTTTGATAATGATATCTGACATCTAACGAAGGTGATATTAATTACTTCAGTACTTTTTATGATAGTTTGAACATAAATTTTTTATCGATAAAAATGGTTGCTAAACAGATGGAGAAAAAGTAAACTGAAGGTGGAAGTTTCTGCTTAAAAATGATGCAACAGTTAGCTTTAATAATGAAGTCTACAGAACTTGAACCAAAGACATAAAATACTACACTCTTATATCCTTATAAATAGACGATGCAATTTTTTCCTCCTGGTGGTAAATGCATACTCAGTTACTTCGTTTGTTTGAGAATTTTCGTGCAAAGCTACTCAAGGGCTATCTATACGTAGCCGTCCCTAACTTCGAACCGATAGGCTAGAAGGAATAGATTCAACAGCACCCACCGCCAACTCTTGAGATACTCTAGTCTGACTGAAGAATGGGATTTGAACTTCATTCTTATAGTAAACTCAAGGTCTCAAAGGGCGGAGTGTGTTTTCGAGGCAAAACCATGCTAACCAATAAACCACGCTCAGCTTGTCTTCGTTTACAAACAGTCTTTCACATTTCAATGTATAATTCACCTTTTACGCCAAATTGTCTGCAAGATTTATTTAACTTTTGCATAATTACTAATACATTTCTTACCTCAGGTTGCCCCCAGTGGCTCAGCGATAAGTCTGAGGGCTTATAATGCTCCAAATCGGGTTTCGATACTCGTGCTGAGCAGAGCACAGATAGCCTATTGTGTAGGTTTGAACTTAAGAAAAACTATTTTCTCAGTGCTAATCAAATTTTAAACCAGCCAAAATAATAAAGAAAGCAATGTATATTTTTCGGTCACTCACACTTGGTAAAGTTGTAATTGTTTGTTTTTTCTTTATTACCAAAACAGTGTATTAGTTAGACATTGAAACGTTATTTAAAACTGTTCTCTCTATACATACAGGGTGATTATAAAGAAAGGTCCACAGTTCAGTGAGTCATATCTCACAAACAGTATGACACAGGAGGGTGAAATATCGCAGGGATGTTATGGGTGCAAAAGCCACAGTTGTGACATGATGCCACCAGGGGTACCACTGTGGTTTATTACCCATGGCTATAAACGGGCCTATTGATCACAGGATGGTTCTGGTAGGATTAGCTAAACAAATTTACCTTATCAGGGTGGTTCTGGTAGGATCAGCTAAACAGGTTTACCTTACCATGGTGGTTCTGGTAGGATCAGCTAAACAGGTTTACCTTATCTTGGTGGTTCTGGTAGGATAAGCTAAACAGGTTTACCCTACGAGGATGGTTCTGGTAGAATCAACTAAACAGGTTTACCTCACCAGGGTTGTTCTGGTAGGATCGGCTAAACAGGTTTACCCTACGAGGGTGGTTCTGGTAGAATCAGCTAAACAGGTTTACCTCACCATGGTGGTTCTGGTAGGATCAGCAAAACAGGTTTACCTCACCAGGGTTGTTCTGGTAGGATCAGCTAAACAGGTTTACCCTACGAGGGTGGTTCTGGTAGGATCAGCGTCTGTCCTCTTTCAAATGTTGGTGTTTGTTTATTTATTTGTTATGAATTTTGTGCAAAGCTACACGAGGGCTATCTGCGCTAGCCGTCCCTAATTTAGCAGTGCAAGACTAGAGAGAAGGCAGCTAGTCATCACCACCCACCGCCAACTCTTGGGCTACTCTTTTACCAACGAATAGTGGGATTGACTATCACATTATAACGTCCCCACGGCTGAAAGGACGCGCATGTTTGGTGTGACGGGAATTCGAACCAGTTACCCACAATTACGAGTCGAGCGCCCTAACTACCGGGCCATGCCGGGCCTCAAAAGTTGTTGATCTCCACTATTGGTTTTTATGAGAATGTCTTTTAACGAAGAAGTGATTTTATTTACGTTAAGTGTTACAATGTCCGTTTAATTTAGACACCAGTGAGGCCCTCTCGTGGTATAAGTATAAAAAGTGTTGTCATACGTTGCACACGTATTTCATAAATTACCCTGAACAACATTCACGCTGGTATTCACATTATAATAGCATTTTTTAGAAAGAAATTAGTATAATAGAAAAACCAAGTTGTCCACACTGCCAGGGTCGTGAATCTTATAGGAAATACTTTACCAATACCAGTAATACTTTACCAATACCAGTAATACTTTACTAAGACCAGTAATACTTCACCAAGACTAGTAATACTTTACCAAGACTAGTAATACTTTACCAAGACTAGTAATACTTTACTAAGACCAGTAATACTTTACCAATACCAGTAATACTTCACCAAGACCAGTAATACTTTACCAAGACTAGTAATACTTCACTAAGACTAGTAATACTTTACCAATACCACTAATACTTCACCAAGACTAGTAATACTTTACCAAGACTAGTAATACTTTACCAAGACTAGTAATACTTTACC